AATCCTTTTTTTCTGAACTGCAAATAAAAATAATTAAAATCTTAAAATTGTATTGTACATACGATTTTCTTATTGGACTGTCGGGGCTGTCTTTTTCCAACAAAAGTCTCAAGTAATAATCACCGATTTTCACTTCATCTGACAGGCACTGGTACTGTACTTCAAATTCTCTATGATTCCAAGCAATTAGAGTTCCTCCTGCCAAATCTTTATCAGAACTGAATGCGCGTATTTCATTCTCAAGTGCAGTTCTTAATTCTTCGCGTGTTTTATGATTCCAAATTAAGTTTGGCAGTGAATGATCTTGATTGAATTTATAATAAAACAAATTCCAATTTGCTTCCGATTTAATTCTTTCTCTACGTTTTCTTAATACTATCGGACGTTCTTTGATTTTCTCTTTGCGTTCGATTCCAATCCTAGCACCCCAATGTTGAAGAGCATGTTCTACATGTTTTTCAACTACACGCATTTGCCGTTCGATCGCAATCCATTGCGGACTTTTTTTATTTTTCGATGCATGATCTATAGCTATTTTTAAATTGTCGCGATTGTTTAATCGTTCTTTCTCAAGAAATGAATCTGGTACTTTTTCATCGGAGTCTAAGTAATTTAATAAACCAACAGGCTGTATAAATATACAATGAATACAAACTTAGATACTTTCATTTTTGTAATTAAATGAAAATGATATTATAAGCTCAATCAATAATACTAATTTACCATAATTCTTTTTAACAATCCCATAGCTGTAGGATGTCCTGTAACCCAAAGTCCTACAAGATGTCTACACAATTGTCTATGTGTTAGCAGTCTACCATCAGTACCAATAGTAAAAAGACTATTTAATAGATGTCTTGGTAATGCTCCTTCAGCAAGGGCAAGTTCTTGCATTTTTGCAGCAACTTCCGGTGCACCTTCTTCGATAATCGCTCTCATTATTAATCCAGCGCCTTTAACAATAGCTAATGATGGATGTTGGAATAGTTTAAAAAGTGATCTTCCTCTTGCAGCAACCATTTCTAGAAGATTATCGAAATGTTTGCCATCAGTTGTTTCACTATATGGCACACATAAAGCAAAAGTTAAAAGATCAAGCATGGCAGAAACTACCAGAGCACCTGTACCATGATTCTGAAATATTTATAAAAATAATGTTATCATTTTACATAGAAAAATAATTATTGTTAAGAAAAATCAAAATATTTTTTATTTTTACACTTACTATATGATTAACCCACATATCAAGTAAATTTTCCAAAAATTTATTACTACTAAGAAGACTACTTTTATTTAATTGCTCTTGTCTTAAATCACAATCATCATGCATTGGTTGCATGAGAGCACAAATGCAATCTATAGCAGCTTGTGTTACACCATAATCTTGTCTTTTCAAAGCTTTTACAACCTTATGTCCAATAGCTTCTCTAAATCCAAGAAGAGTTGTAAATGCAGTAAAACCAATTTTACTAGCTACCAATCTTCTTAAAGCATGAAATTGTGCTTCTATTTCACTATTTGTTTCTAAATCTTTATTAACCAATGCATTTAGAGCACCAAGAATAATTTTATCTTTATTTTCAGTAAAAAGACCCTGTAAGTAGTTATTCATCATATGGTAAATTCGAAGTTGTAATGTTGTTACAGTCCATTCAAGCGGTACAACATCCTGGACAAAAAAAATATCTGTTCAGCTTACTATACAATCTATTTGTTAATTTAATATTGTTAAATATAACTTATATTTAAATTTAATAACTCTTAGTTATATCATGAAAATTTAATAATATGCAAAAAATAGATATAATAAAATAAAACAAGCAATAAAAATTATTAAAACTAATTTCTTTATATACATATTTATTGAATTTATTCCAGTTTGTATAGACAACTATAATTTATTATTTCTTCTCATTTAACTTAAATTTAATAGGCCATCACCGCTTTAATGCACTGCATCATGCTTATTTTATAACATTTATTTAATAATATGACACATACAGAAATTTAATATTACATACAGGATATTAATATATTTGTATACTTTTGTGAGATTCTAGAGTTTAAAACAAGCACAAAAATTTTTATAAAAACTTCGGTTGAAATTGTATTTATTAAGGTATTTATTTAGTATGATTGAAATTTATATTAATATTAGATAAAATAAGATAAGAGATAAAGTGAAATACTTTTATTTTCATCGTATCGTACTACCGTTAGACTACTGTCTTTGCGTAATTTTATCTAATATTATAACTTATAACTTAATAAATAAAATTCCAACCGAAATTTTTGTATTTGTTTTGGCCTCTAGATCCTTTAAAGATGTTAAATATATCAACACCTGTATATATAATATTAAATATATCAAATATGTCTTACATCTTGTGTAACAGAGTAATTAAGACCACTGTAAGGAATGTTGGCATTAAATCTTTCCAAAATTTCAGCAAAACTACGTCCATTTGGTGGTTGCTGAAGAAACTTAACATGAGTTGTTTCAACTTCTTCATCAACAGGTAAATTAAGAGGTCCAAGTCTTTTCCCTCTAGGTATTGCATACATTCTGACATGAACATCTCTATTACCAGATGCTCTAACTCCATCCAATAAAGAAGCTAATAAAGAATCTCTATCTGTTGCAGTATAACTGCGCATTTGACCATTAAGATATTGAATAGTAAACAATTGTGGATTTTCATTATCACGAATCAATGCGAAAATATCTGATAAAGGTCTAAGAGTACAAATATTGTATGTCTGAGGATCTCTTTCTAATAAACAAGTATCAGAGAGACAAAGAGTTCTTCTTTGAGGATCTATATGTCTAGGTGAATATTTGTGAACAGTAAATTCTGATACACTTGTTATATGTTCATCACCACTAAATTTACCCAATCTCTGAGCAATAAAATCATCTAATTTGATTGGTTCTTTCAAAACTTTTATGCTGATACCTAAGTTGTTCATAGCTGATTCCAGCAGTTTTTTTTTAATTTCTTCCATGTGTTGAGAAGCAAAAAGATGTAAACGTCCAAATCCACCACAAACAATTACAAAGCCATTAGGATAATCTTTTATTGTAAGAATTCCTTCAAAATCTTTATAACAATAACTGGCTAATACCATATTGGTTGCTGGATCTAATTGATCAAGACTATATGGTGTCACTTCTAATACAACAGGCAATCTTGTGTCAGACCAATGATGTTTATAAGCTTGATATCTCTAGAGACAATAAAGATATTTTAATATATATATATAATTTAATAAATATATAATATTAAACATATATAAATATTATATTATATATAATATTTATACATATATAAATATATATTTAAAATGTAATAATATATAAAATATAAAATAATAATTTATTTATTATATGAATATTTTTAATTTTATTTAGTTATTAATCTAAAGAATATTAAATATGTAATATATATAAAATTTGATAAAAACATTGAATTAATGGAAATTATATATGATAGCATAATATTATAAAAATAATATGTGTTAGTTATGCAGATAACTGGTAACAAATACTATTAATACATTATAGGCTATTGTATACTAACCATATGGCTAAGTTGATAAGAAATTTGATTAAACTTTAATAATGTTATTTCTTGAATATATTATATTAAAAAATATATAACTCACCAAAATTTCTTTCGGTTTTTCAGCAAATTGATTTCTATATTTGAGAGCTTCAGTTAATAAATGTGCTCTATATTCTGAACTAAATTTCATATTGTCAACTTTACGTTCTTTGCGCATTGTTATACTAAATTCATGCAAACCTAATTGATTTCTGTTTGTTGGTTGTACACTTATAAAATCTGAATATTCCCATTTGTTTGTGACTTCTAATGTAGTTGGATTATATGTTGTTATACCCATAGATCCAATTGAGAAGATACGCTTATATCTAGATAAAAATAAAATAATTTTTTTAATGAATATTATTATTATATAACAATATTAATATTTATTTAAAATATATAAAAATATATAATAAAATTGAAATATCATATAGAAATGTTATATAATAAAATTATAAAAAAGATATATTAAAAATAATTATAAAAATTATTTAATTTCAATATATTCAATTATAACTAGTTAATAGTATTAGATATAATAACATATACAATATGTTAAAAATATATCATATTATTTTATTGATTTATAACATTCATAATATTAATATTCCACTATTAAATAATTAATAATTACATAAAAAAAGTGTAAATAATTTTGATTTAATTGTTTTTATATTATTATATCATAAATCATTTATATTAATCTATTGTTACATTTGAAATGCATATAAAATATGTACATATGTACAGAATTAGAATTCTTTTTTTCTATAATGAATTTATAATACATTAAATTGTATTTATATATTGTATTGTCAATTGTTCATTATTATTTATATGTATACGAAAACATTTGACAAAGCAACAGGAATTAAAAAACACGCACTTACTTTCCTTTCCATGAGTGTTTGGTGACCAGAAAACATGCCACATCCTGATTATCCTTTATCGGCATCATTGTAACATGTCCTGATAATGCAATGTGAGTATTATTTTAAATAATGTTTTAACAAAACACTGGTTATTGTTTATAAAAGATATATAGCGTAGGAGGGACATTCGCATACGAATTAAGAAGAAATCACACGAAAATCATTTTCAAAATGACAAACACAAAAAACACAAAATAGATTTGAATCGCGTATACAATATTTATGTGTTACGCGAAAACGAATAATATTTAGGCACTATTTGATCGTGTTTTAACCGACTAATGACATTTTCGACGGCTCCATTGGACTGGGAGCGGCCATGATGCTTAGGGGTGTTAACAAACAGCTGTTTCCAGATGGCAGAATGATCATAGTCATAGTGGAAAACTTCACTTATTTGTTATATATATGTATAGTTTTGTATCTTTACTTATGTTAATAGATATATTTTCTTTGAAGTAATTTCTTAAATTTGTCTTCATAAAGAAAAGAATACATAATTTAAAGCGATATAAAAGGTAGAGAATTACATTAGTGTTTTAAATAAATGAAATTATGAATTAATTTTTGTTGATATAACCAAACTAATTCTACGTAATCGTAAGTTTGTTGTTATAGATACATTTATTCGTTAAATATATATACATTATAAAATAATTGAAATTAAAAGAAAAAGATATCGTAATTTGTGAAAATTACAATATATATTTAATTCATTTCGTAATTCAGTAGTTCTTTTTTTGATTTTTTACATAGTAAGAAATTAAAGCAAGTAGCTTGATGTGAAATAGAAATATTATATATATATATATATACATGCATAAATTTTATTTATAAGTTTATGATTTGTATTATTCTTATTTTATATAATTAAAATATAATAACATTGTTCTATTTTATTTATGAATAAGAACGTAATTTGGAATAAAACATAATTTGGACTAAAATTTTTTTATATAAATCATTTTTTTAATAAATCAAATCTAATTTGTTTGAATATTAAAATATTTTTGTATGTAGTTTATTATTCATATGTTTTATTAAAAAAAATAAATAAAAATGAATAAAATTTTTCAATAAATTATAATTAAGAATTTTATGAAAAGTTTAAAATATAAATATTAAATAAAATATATAATTATATTCTACATGATTATATAAAGAACTAATTTCAAATATTTCATTATTTTATTAGTTTCTACAGATAAAATAATAAAATGATAGAAAATAATATATCTAGTGAAAGTGATGAAGGAGAAATAAAATCAGATTTTGAATTGGATTTTCAAGACGAACTATGTAATTATCCTCATGTTTTAAGATTTATTCAAAGAATGCGTGATCATATTAAAAAACGAATAAAAAAATTGCCAAGTTACGAAATAAACTCAATGAATATGTAAGAATTATGTTTTTAAATTTATTATTTTAAATTTTTCTTTTTATTCATATATTATTTTTTGTTTATACTTTTATATAAGAAATAATTTATATTTATTTTATAGGAAATAATTTATACTTTTATTTCAGGAGAGTCAGAAATTATTGCAGAAAAAAAATTTAGTTGACTATGGAACTCAAACAAATCCTTTGGAATATGAAAAAGAATCATATCTTTCACAAGATTGGAATATTAATAATGATAAAACTTCAACTGATATTATACAACAGGTTAAAGAAGCAGCTGAATCTGCTTTATTGCAAACTGGTTTTGTTTATGAAGAAACTTCTGGTTTATATTATGATTATAATAGTGGATATTATTATGATGCAGTAAGCATTTATATAATAATTATTAAATTTTCATTGCTAATTTTTATATAAAAATTATATAAAAAAAAATTGTTTTAGAAACAAGGTTTATATTATGATGGTAATACAGGCACATATTATTATTATGATGAAACTAGTGGAACATATCAGTTCCATAGTCAAGCTCTAGTAACTGGGAATGAAGCAGCTGCACGTGTGCAAGGCAAGAAGGAGCAAAAAACTAGAAAGGCAATTAAGGTACTTAAACTATTATATATAATGCAATTAAATTTAAAAAAAAAAAAGAAAAAATCATTTGCAGACGAAAATTTTTAATTTTTCAGGTTTTGGATGACATACATGAATTAATAAATGGCCTTTCAAACATATCAATTGAAAAATACAGGCGTCAAGCACTAGGTAATTATCCTATGCTCTTAATATGCACACATGTCTCTCTTGTAGGATGAGGGGAAAAAACGTAAACTTGCGAAAAGAGAAGGACAATCAGAAGATGAACTCGAGGAGGGTGAATGTTCAAGCAATGATAGTGACAGCAGTTCTAATGACATTACTCCAGAATTATGTACTAGTAGTGACAGTGACCATGAAGAAGATCAAGGTTTATTTTTAATTGTTTTCCTACAACATTATTTGGCAAAAAAAAAAAATTTTTATTGATTCAATATTACATAAAATATTAAGTGATTATTTTTAATACTTCTTTTTTTAATTGAATGATATTTTTTCGTTATATTTTAATAATATATATGTATAATATAATAATATACATATAGTATTACAAATATAACAATTAATATAATTATTAATACTATAAATAAGCGTTTGCATATAATATAACACATGTTAAACTTGAAATATATTGATTAATTTTTCGTCAATTCACTTTTATTTCAGATTTAGCAAAAACATATCCACCGTGCATGAGAATCATAGTTAAGGAAACCACTTTACCAAAACTAAAAGTTGGAAGCCTTTTTCTTGTTGCATACACTGGTGGTTCAATTGGTCGAGAAGGTGATCATTCTGTAGTTATTCCTGATATAAATATTAGTAAAGTAAGTTCTAAACATCCTTATATTAAAAATAAAAAAATTTGCTTGTATATAATGATATGATATGATATACACAAAATAATTAATATTTTAGCAACATGCCCGTTTTTTATATAATGAAGATAAAAAAATATATGAAATTACTGATTTGGGATCAAGAAATGGTACATTTTTAAATGGTAAAAGGTTATCTGTGGCTAAACAAGAATCTGATCCTCATGAAGTTTCGCATGGTTCAATTGTGCAAGTTGGAACTACAAAATTATTGTGTCACATTCACAATGGAAATGAAACTTGTGGTCATTGCGAGCCAGGACTTGTTCAACAAAATAATAATGCAGAAGAAAATAAATCTTCTAAAAAACAACAACATAAACAAGAATTACGACGGCTGAAACATAAGTTTGGTGTAGAAAAAGATAATGTTGCAACTGCTAGTCAGGTAGCATCAGGATATCAAGATCGAGCGCAGAGTCGTAGAAAATGTGTGGGTTCTTTAAATCATCATGCTAAAACACAACAAAGTTCAATGGACATGTAAGTGATTTATTTGTTGTTGTAAAATTTAAATTTAAAAAATTATCATATGAAAATTTTTAATTTAATTCTTAAACATATTTATAATTATTTAAAAATTTAAACATTTTATAAATTTTTTCTTTCTTTAAATAATGTACTATGTACTATTAAACAATAACTTTTTTCGTTTTTTTCGATCCTTTTTTAAATTTTTTTATTTTTTTAATTTTTTTTTATATTTTTACATAAATTATATTATTTTGATATATAATTTTTATTATTATTATTATTATTTTTTTATTATATTTTTATAATTTTTTTTATATTTTTTGCAGTATTTAATTTCTATATTATGATTTCATTTATAGTTCTATCGCAAAAGACAACAGAGGATTTAAACTTCTATCAAAAATGGGCTGGTCTGAGGGACAATCATTAGGAAAAGAAAGAGATGGTCCGATTGAACCGGTAAGTCCTGTTTTTTTTATAATATTTTTTTTATTTATTTTAATAGCTGATTTATATAAAATTACTATAAAGCTTAAAATAATAGAATAATTTATGGTATTGATTAATGATATGATTATTAAAATAATTAAACAATTCTATTACTTTGTCGAGTTATTATTATTATATATATTATAATATATTATATTATAATGTATACAAAAAGAATTTCGTCTTAATTTAAAATATTTAATAATCTTTATAATGTAGGATATTTAAAAATGATAAAATATTTGATTTTTTTTAATTCTTCACAATTTTATTTCATAAATTCATAAATTCAATAAATAAATAGAATCTATCGATTTCTATTTGTTATCTTTATTTTATGAATATGAATCTTAGCATAAATCATTTTTTAATAGAAAACGAAAGACATTTCTTTTTCAAAAAAAAAAACTATTACTCTTATTTAAGTTATTGTATTATAAATTCTTATTTGATATAACAAGATTGCGAATATTTATTTAAATTAAGTAGAGATATGTTTCACTTAATAATATCATAGCGATTTTATTTAAATTATATATTCTTTTATATTATATGCATATTCAAAATTCTGTTTTCAAATTTTTTTAAATGCATAAATATCATCGATCCAGATGACAATAAATAAAAATGAATGAAACGAACCATTAATTTAAAGATGAATATTTCTAGTCCGAAAGTTTGTTCCAAATATCTTCATCATTTTTTGGAAATTTTTTTTGGAATCTATCTAATAATAAACGATAAAATCTAATAGTGATAGTATGTAAATGACATATCGATAGAAAATATTCTTTTTGCTTGATATTATTATATCTGATTCCGATGATATTAATCCGCAATTGCGTGCACGGGACGTGCGTGCTCTTCGTTTTACGTTTTATCGGACTACTAAGTTCATGGTATCGATGTTACACGTGTAACCAAAGCAAAAGATGAATAGAAATATAAAGTGCATGATCACTCATTATCTGAACATCATCATTGCGGTCAATTCTTTTTGAAAACAAAATATATTAAAAAATAATAAATAAAAATATAAAATAAATTAAATATTTAATTATCTTTCCTATAATAATATGTATATATTATTATAAAAAAAATATTATTGGCAAAGACGTAGAACTATCTATATTTAAATCTAAATAAATAATATACTTTAAAGTGTTTATGAGAGTTTAAAAAATATCATAGTTACAATAATAATTTGTTTGATATTCTTTATATCGTTTATTATGTAAAAGTCACTTGATTTTTACTGTAAAGTTATTTCAAGTTTATTGCAAAAAAATCTATCGGCTTAAGACGTTCAAATAGTATGTATAAATTATTAGCTTTCTTGATTCATAATCTTCTTGATCACAATTTTAACTTGCAACTTTAAAAAGCAAAATTTAAAGAGAAAATATCAAAAAAATATATATTTTTTTAATTTTTAAGCAATTTTTTCAGTCATAAAACTTGCAAAATAGAAATATTTTTTAAACTTTATAAATAAAATAAAAATCCATTAAAAACATCAATAAATTGCATGAATAAAATGAGAAAAGAAAAAAAATCTATGTTTTATGATCACTTTGACGTTTAAAATTCTTCAAGTTTTATAATAAATTATATAATTTTTAATTTTTCCAATGACCAATAAATGTTTGCAAGTATTTCTCCAAGATTTATAATAAGCGAAAAAAATATTTCTTTTAAACTATGATGTATAAATTTTAAATATATTTTCGAATGATGTATCTACGATAAAATTAAAAAAGAATCATTTACTGAATCAAAACATATTATAAAACATCAAAAGTATAAATGGAATTCATATTCTAATATATAGTAATAATATAACTAATAATATTCGCATTCGTCTTACATCTATTTATAACATATTTGCACAAAGTGCTATAATAGTTTTTTTTCGATAATTATAATCGATTATAATTACTTTTGTCCATCTAAATCGAACATTTCCATTGATCCGCGCCGCTGAAAATTCGCAATCCGATTTCGTTTGCCTTTTTTTAGGCAAAGCGTTAAAAACTACAAATTCCTGCTAGTATTATCGTTGCTCATCCCCTTATACGCTTTCTCCGTTCCTCTTCTCTGCCTCTCACACTATCGAATCGCCATGATCACCCTCTGATCCATCCGATACTTTGCCGATACACACGTATGCATATATACGTGTCTATCCATGGACGCGATACATATGTTTGCAAAAGCCAGACAGCAAGCTGGTTCTGGTGGTGCTGCTTACTCGTCCGGCCGCATCGCATTTCGACAGCAACGAAACGAGCGCCGACGGCACGACCAGAGCATTCGTATGATAACGAGCGTAACTCTGCGAGACATGAAACGGAATAGTAGAGGGGATCTTTGCAGAGACGAAAACGGGAGCAGCAGAGAGGGAGAGGGTACGACAGAAGAGGTGTCCCTGGGTAATGAATGCAAATGTATTGAAATCCAAATCATTATTTTGTCTAGACGCATCGTATGCTCTATTGCACGCTCTCTGAGCTTAAGGAAGGGAGATGGCGTGTTGCTCCACTCTTGTGGGGGTGGATCGAGGGAGAAAGGAAACATAGACAGAGCGAGAGAATGTTGTTTTCTCTCGTCTCTGTATACCTTGACGCGTATCTGCTAAATTTACCTCTAAACTTTATCTTTCTTGGCAAATTATGGTAAATTTATCTGTGACGATCTCCAAACTCCCCGTCTTGTAATCTGTTTTTGAATAATGGATAATGATTCTCTTTCGAATACTTTTTTCTCGTAAAATGATCTTTATCATCGTATATCGAAGTAATTATACGGATAATAAATATATATGTTTTACGAATATTTGTAATGCAGAAAAAAGAAAATCGATTTGAGATACGATGTAGTTTTTTTTAGTTTTGTTTCATTTCGAAGAGAAATGGTACAATTTCACGCGAATACGAAGATTTAATCATATAATTGAAGACGGAAATATGATGTACGACTTAATAATTTCATACGGTGATTATTACAGTTTATCTTGAATATAAAATTATATAATATATTCGCGCATATTTCGTTTTACATTTTGAAACGTATTTGATAAGCTGGTTTCTCATGAAAAATTTTAGATTCATCAAAAATATCACATACTTTATACATTTATAAATATAAAATAATCAATTAATTAATTAATAAATTACAAACTCTAATGCTTAAATGGATAGTTTTTCCAAATATAATAAAACACTTTGAATTTCTCGATAAATCGTTAATTTAATTATGTGAGAAAAATAATTTAAATTCTTCGATAAATTAATCAATGTTGCAGTGTATTATTTCACATTGTATCAAATATTTTTAACTGTAACTGTACCTATTTCTGCGGTTTCTCTTCGTTGAATCTGTATGACCTACATCGTAAACTAGAAACACACTCTCGGTCGTACAACGGGGGTGAAAATGTAGGAGAAGGAAGATGGAAGAGAGACGGATGACGAGGGGTGAATCCGCATGTTCGCTTCCGAGAGTTCGCAAACCAGACATTGTAAAGCCCTCGAATGGCGATTGCCACTAAACCACGAGCATACGATAAAGTATAAAATTGTCCCATGCTATGAAAGTGCCATTAACAGGTGTAGGTGGATTCGTGTCCTATCTGACCGAATGAAATCTTGGCAGGTTCGTTTATTTAAGTGCTTTCCGATGCAACGAACACTTTTTACTATTGACTCTTTTCGGAGAGAAGAGAAAAAAGATATTTATTTATTATGAATTTTTAAGTTGAAAATTAAAATTTGAAATCTTGAAATTCAATCTTTCTGTATTATTGTATCTTTGGAATTATGGGAAATATTCTTTTGAAGCTTTGATAATTTTGTGTTGTTCACGTCAATATATAGATGCAATGAGCAGTTAAATATTTAAGAAAATTTAATCTCATTTTTTTCGTAGAATTATGAATGATACTGTTCGTGAATTAATAATCCAAATATAACATTGATTTTTATTTCCATTTTCTTCTATGATTCATTTCATTTCGTTTTATTTTTATCGAATTTCATCTTCATTTTGATAAATATCATTTTGATAACAATAAGTATAATTTTTTTTTTTTTGTTGTAAACATATCTTGCTTTATAATTTTTTCAGATAATCTATCTATGTTGTCTATTTGTTTGAAAAATAGTTATTAATCTTAAAATTGTTCTGTGTTATATTTTGGTGATGTTCCTTTTTCTTTTTATTTATCTATTTTTTCAAACATTTAATTTTATTATTCGTTCAATTTTCTTTATTTAGTCGCATTCTGTCACTTATAAATAATGCAATAACCTTACAATTTAACTTGGAACTGTAAAGTTAAGCCGACTCGTAACGCCGATCGTTAAACAATTGCAACTGAAACGCAATCGATGCAACGCGTTACAATTCGCTGCCTCGTGAAGGCAACCTTAAAGTGCATTCGGAAACTGCAACAATTTCATTTTATGGACTTTCACGTAGACCGGCTGTTGCGAGCCATTTCACGGTTACAGCGTGAACATCCACGGTAGTGCCTTTTACGATTTACATTCATTTCCATATTGCATTTTCTTGCCCTTTACAGTACCGCGAGGAAAAACCTGATTGATTAATGACGCAATAAATAATCCAACGCGCAGAGAATGAGGCCTCGTGGTGCTTCCATAAAATCTTCTATTGGAAGAGCTTTCTACGATTTCTCTTTGAGAAGTATAATAGGGTTCGCGTTGGAAATTAAAAAGATTTTATATATCGATGCAATTAGAAACAGAATTGAACTCTTATATATTAGGTATTATATTGTTTCAAATTTCTAGTTTTTAAAAATTTTTAATTGTTTATAATCAATGATATCGTAATTAATATTTAAGACAATTCTTTTTTCAAAAAAACTTGATTAATGTTAATTTATATGATCTTTATTTTTAATGATTTTATTATTTAATTTTTTTTTGTTAGTCATTTTTAAACGT